GGGGGGAAGGGGGAATTTGGGACCCAGGAGTCCCAGAATTCCCAAAATTTCTGGGAATTCCTGGAAACTCCCAGAAATCTGGGGGAATCTCATGGAAAAGGAGTCAGGAATGGGGGAAAAATGGGAATTTTGGGTCTGGGAGGCCCCAAAATCCCGGATTTTTTTGGGAATTTTGGGGGGGGGAGGGGGAATTTGGGACCCAGGAGTCCCAGAATTCCTGGAATTCCCAAAAATCTGGAGGGATGAGGGGGAAAAAAGGTTGGGAATGGGGGAAAAATGGGAATTTCGGGTCTGGGAGGCCCCAAAATCCCGGATTTTTTTGGGAATTTTGGGGGGGGGAGGGGGAATTTGGGACCCAGGAGTCCCAGAATTCCTGGAATTCCCAAAAATCTGGAGGGATGAGGGGGAAAAAAGGTTGGGAATGGGGGAAAAATGGGAATTTCGGGTCTGGGAGGCCCCAAAATCCCGGATTTTTTTGGGAATTTTGGGGGGGGGAGGGGGAATTTGGGACCCAGGAGTCCCAGAATTCCTGGAATTCCCAAAAATCTGGAGGGATGAGGGGGAAAAAAGGTTGGGAATGGGGGAAAAATGGGAATTTCGGGTCTGGGAGGCCCCAAAATCCCGGATTTTTTTGGGAATTTTGGGGGGGGGGAAGGGGAAATTTGGGACCCGGGAGTCCCAGAATTCCTGGAATTCCTGGAATTCCCAAAAATCTGGAGAAATGAGGAGGAAAAGGAGTCAGGAATGGGGGAAAAATGGGAATTTTGTGTTCGGGAGGCCCCAAAATCTTGGAATTTTTGGGGAATTTTGGTGTGGGGGAGGGGGAATTTGGGACCCAGGAGTCCTGGAATTCCCAAAATTTCTGGGAATTCCTGGAAACTCCCAGAAATCTGGGGGAATCTCATGGAAAAGGAGTCAGGAATGGGGAAAAAATGGGAATTTTGGGTTCAGGAAGCCCCAAAATCTCAAATTTTTGGGGAATTTTGGTGTGGGGGAGGGGGAATTTGGGACCCAGGAATCCCAGAATTCCTGGAATTCCCAAAAATCTGGAGGAATGAGGGGGAAAAAAGGTTGGGAATGGGGGGAAATGGGAATTTTGTGTTCAGGAGGCCCCAAAGTCTTGGAATTTTTGGGGAATTTTGGGGCTGGGGGAGGGGAATTTGGGACCCGGGAGTCCCGGAATTCCCGAACTTCCCGGGAATGCCGGGATGGCGGGCAGGAACCTGGAGGAGGCGCTGAGCCCCGAGGATTGCCAGAGCATCTTCCCCGTGGTCTTCGTGTCCTGCCGCGCCCTGGCCTCGGCCGCCGGCCACTTCCTGTTCCAGAGGTGAGATCCCGGAATTCCTGAGCGAAGTCTGGGAATTCCCAGCGAAATCTGGGAATTCCCACCGAAATCTGGGAATTCCCACCGAAATCTGGGAATTTCCAAACAAAATCTGGGAATTCCCACCGAAATCTGGGAATTCCTGAGCAAAATCTGGGAATTCCCACCGAAATCTGGGAATTCCCAGCCAAAATCTGGGAATTTCCAACCAAAATAAATCAGGGAATTTCCAACTGAAATCTGGGAATTCCCAACCAAAATCTGGGAATTTCCACCCAAAATCTGGGAATTCCCAGCGAAATCTGGGAATTCCCACCAAAATCTGGGAATTCCCAGTGAAATCTGGGAATTTCCAAACAAAATCTGGGAATTCCCACCGAAATCTGGGAGTTTCTAACCAAAATCTGGGAATTCCCACCGAAATCTGGGAATTCCCGGCCAAAATCTGGGAATTCCCAACCGAAATCTGGGAATTCCCAGTGAAGTCTGGGAATTTCCACCTGAAATCTGGGAATTTCTGACCAAAATCTGGGAATTCCCAACCAAAATCTGGGAATTCCCAGCGAAATCTGGGAATTCCCGACCGAAATCAGGGAATTCCCGACCGAAATCTGGGAATTTCCAACTGAAATCGGGGAATTTCCAACCAAAATAAATCGGGGAATTTCCAATCAAAATCTGGGAATTTCCAACCAAAATCTGGGAATTCCCAGCGAAATCTGGGAATTCCTGTTTCAGAGGTGAAAATCCCGGAATTCCCCACCAAAATCTGGGAATTCCCCACCGAAATCTGGGAATTTCTGACAAAATCTGGGAATTCCCAGCCAAAATCAGGGAATTCCCAACTGAAATCGGGGAATTTCCAACCAAAATAAATCAGGGAATTTCCAATCAAAATCTGGGAATTTCCAACCGAAATCTGGGAATTCCTGTTCCAGAGGTGAGAATCCCGGAATTCCCCACCAAAATCTGGGAATTCCCCACCAAAATCTGGGAATTTCCGACCAAAATCTGGGAATTCTGGCCCAAAATCTGGGAATTCCCAACCAAAATCCTGGAATTCTGGCCCCAAATCCCAGAATTCCAACCAAAATCTGGGAATTCCTGTTCCAGAGGTGAAAATCCCGGAATTCCCGGCCAAAATCTGCGAATTCCTGCCCCAAAATCTGGGAATTTCTGACCAAAATCTGGGAATTCCAACCCCAAATCCTCAGAATTCCAAACCCCTAAAAGGTGGGAATTGCAGCCCCAAAACCTTGGGAATTCTGATCCCAAAATCCCAGGAATTCTGACTCCAGGCTGTGAAAAATTCAACCCCAAAACCTGGGAATTCTGATCCCAAAATCCTGGGAATTTTAACTCCAAAATCCCAGGAATTGCAGCCCCAAAACCTCAGGAATTCTGATCCCAAAACGCCAGAAATTCTGATTCCAAACTGTGACAATTCCAAACCCAAAATCCCGGGAATTCTGATCCCAAAACCTGGGAATTGCGACCCCAAAATCCTGGGAATTTTAACTCCAAAATCCCAGGAACTGCACTCCCAAAACCTCAGGAATTCTGATCCCAAAACCCCAGAAATTCTGATTCCAAACTGTGCCAATTCCAACCCCAAAATCCCAGGAATTCTGATCCCAAAACCTGGGAATTGCGACCCCAAAATCCTGGGAATTTTAACTCCAAAATCCCAGGAATTGCAGCCCCAAAACCTCGGGAATTCTGATCCCAAAACCCCAGAAATTCTGATCCCAAAATCCCAGGAATTTCAGCCCCCAAACCTCAGGAATTCTGATCCCAAAACCTCAGGAATTCTGATCCCAAAACGCCAGAAATTCTGATTCCAAACTGTGACAATTCCAAACCCAAAATCCCGGGAATTCTGATCCCAAAACCTGGGAATTGCGACCCCAAATTTTTTTCCCATTTCCCCCATTTTTCCCTGGTTTTCCCCATTTTTTCCCATTTCCCCCCATTTTTCCCTGGTTTTCCCAATTTTTTTCCCATTTCCCCCATTTTTCCCTGGTTTTCCCCATTTTTTTCCCATTTCCCTTAATTTTTCCCAGTTCCTTCCCAATTTTCCCCACTTTTACTCATTTTTTCCCATTTTTCCATGTTCTCTCCTCATTTTTCCCTTTTCCCTGTGTTCTTCCCATCTCCCCCCATTTTTCCCCATTTTTCCCCATTTTTCCCACGTCTTTCCCCATTCTCTTCCTGTTTTTCCCATTTTCCCATTTTTCTCAATTTTTCCTTGTTTTCCCCCATTTTTCCTATTTTCCCCATCTTTTTCCCCATTCTCTCCCTGTTTTTCCCCATTTTCCCAGTTTTTCCCATGTTTTTTTCCCATTTTCCCTTTGATTTTCCCCATTTTCCCTGTGTTTTTTCCCATGTTTTTCCCCATTTTCCCTGTGGTTGTTCCCCATTTCCCCCCATTTTCCCAGTGATTTTTCCCATTTTTCCATGTTTTTTCCCATTTTTCCCCATTTTCATGGTGTTTTTTCCCCATTTTTTCCCCTTTTTCCCCCACTTTTTCCCCATTTTTCCCTGCTGTTTTTCCCCATTTTTCCCCATTTTTCCCATTTTTTCCCATTTTCCCGCTGTTTTCCATTTTTCCCCATTTTTTTTCCCACTGTTTTTCCCCATTTTTTTTCCAGTTTTTCCCATGTTTTTTTCCCTTTTTCCCCATTTTTCCCCATTTTTCCCATTTTTTCCCATTTTCCCGCTGTTTTTCCCCATTTTTTCCCCATTTTCCCACTGTTTTTCCCATGTTTTTTTCCCTTTTTCCCCATTTTTCCCCATTTTCATGGTGTTTTTTCCCCATTTTTCCCCCATTTTTCCCCTATTTTCCCCATTTTTCCCCATTTTCCCCCATTTTTCCCATTTTTTCCCATTTTCCCGCTGTTTCCCCCATTCCAGGCTGCTGGACCCCGTCCGTCACGGCGCCGGCGCGGGCGACTCGCGGAGCTTCTTCCTCAGCCTGCTGCGCTTCTTCCTGCGCTGCCGGGTGCGGAATCGGGGAAAATCCGGGAATTTCGGAGCAAATTCGGGAAATTCGGGGCAAATCCGGGAAATTTGGGGCACATCCGGGAAATTTGGGGCAAATCCGGGGCTTTTGGGGCAGATCTGGGAATTTGGGGCAAATCCAGGAAATTTGGGGCAAATCCGGGGCTTTTG